CCCAACTTCTTTCCCCTCTTGCCAACCATAGAGACAAATCAAAGAAGAAGAAGAAAGTAAAGGTAAAGATGGAAAAGAAATCCACACCCTCTAGGAGTTCATCCTCCAAGTCCACGTCAAGGCAGCTAAGTGAGAGCTTTAAGAGCAAAGAGTTTGTGTCCAGTGATGAGAGCTCTTCCGGAGAGAACAAGAGCAAAAAGAAGAGGAGGCGGAGCGAGGTGCGGCAGGAATGTGGGGACTGTTGGGTGAGGGGCAGTGTCTGAGGGGTGTGGTGGAGGGTGTTCCTATGCCCGGGTTGTGGTTGGTCTGTAAATAATGAGTTGGAGTAGATAGGCAGAATTCTGAGGTTCTGGATGTGGGTGCTGCAGTTGGGAGGGGGGATGGAACTGGAGGCCCTTCACTACTGAAAAGTGGCTAGGGGGCAACCAGGGTGTACCCCTTTCCCCTGAAGAGACCTTTGGTTTTCAGGACTCTGAAGAAGAGGAACTAGCCAGTACACCCCCCAGCTCAGAGGACTCGGCGTCAGGATCCGATGAGTAGAGAGGAGGAAAATTCTTTCTCCTTGCGCTTGCCCTGTCACACCCCCAGGCTCCCCACCGTTTTTTTTGGTACCAGTTTTGCATATGAAATGTAGCCCTTGGATTCTGTGCCATCTGAGCAAGCTCTCCTGGTGGTATGCACTTCACTGGGGCAGTGGGGGCAGCAGCTTAATCTGCTGCTTCTGAAGGATGGCTGATTTGGGAGAGACTGGGTGGGAGGCAGGGCAATGCAGGATCCAAATCCTCATCCTACTTTCCCAGCTTTAGGAATATAGCTGCCACTTGTCCTGTTCAGGTTGTCGCAGCAGGGGTCTTGTGAGGTCAGGCCCAAAGCTCCTAACTGGGGCTGATTTCTACCTTTATTTTGTATTTCTGGTCTGTGAAAATCAACATTTAATAAAGGGAACTGACTTTGGAAACCATGCCCTTATGCCTTCTTTCTAGCCCTGTTGCATCACTCCCACCTTTCTCTGTGGTGTTTACCACTCTGCCCTAACTAGGCAGGGCCCCCCTGGCCAGCCGGGAAGCAGGTCTCTGGGTACATCCTGTTCTATTCCCGGCTGGACAAGCATTGGTTTTCATCCTCTGCCGGGATGTGTTACCTGAGAGTCTAGAAATGAGAGCTAATCTGATTAGGAAGTCTCTTTCACAGTTCCACTCCATTAGTCAAGTAAGGGGAGGCAGCTCTTGGCTCCATCCTTAATCACCTGTGAGTCAAGGGTCTTTGAAGGCTAGGTAATAGAATCAGGATCGACTATATCCCTACTACTGGAGGAGTGGAAACCTGAGCCTGGAGAGTTGGGGAGGATGAGGTAGGGGCGTGTGTGTCTGTTGTACATGAGTGGTCTGATGGTGCAGGAAAGGTGTGGAGTACGTGTGAAGCTATCATTCTTGGGAGAAGTGAGGATGTTGGGGAGGATGAGAGGCGTGTGTGTGTGTGTGTGTGTTGTACATGAGTGGTCTGATGGTGCAGGTGTGGAGTACCTGTGAAGCTATCATTCTTGGGAGGAGTGAGGATGTAGGGGAGGATGAGAGGTGTGTGTGTGTGTGTGTGTTGTACATGAGTGGTCTGATGGTGCAGAAAAGGTGTGGAGTACGTGTGAAGCTGTCATTCTTGGGAGGAGTGAGGATGTAGGGGAGGATGAGAGGTGTGTGTGTGTGTGTGTGTTGTACATGAGTGGTCTGATGGTGCAGGAAAGGTATGGAGTACGTGTGAAGCTGTCGTTCTTGGGAGGAGTGAGGATGTTGGGGAGGATGAGAGGGGTGTGTGTGGTGTACATGAGTGTTCTGATGGTGCAGGAAAGGTATGGAGTATGTGTGAAGCGATCTTTCTTGGGAGGGGGGAGGATGCCAAATTTTAGAGTTGTTGAGAACCTGTATCTGGAAGAGAGACTAAAAGGAGAAACAGCACCCACAAGGAAAGTAGAGCTGCCTGTCCTAACCGTGACTCTAAATCTTAATTTACCCACGTGGGTGGCCACGTTGCGGACGCTCTCTGGAGGACTCAGGTGGTTTTAACAGGAAGCCTCGCTAGTCCGCCGGCAGTTACCTTCTTGCTATTCGTGGCTCTATGGTGCTGCAATCATTACGGGCGGCTGGGTTGAGGGAGGGAGGTACGAAGGCAGTGTCCTCTCTAGGCAGTCGCCTCGGTATCCGTTTTACCGGGACCTCTTAGCGGCTGAATTGCGTCAGTTTCACCGGGTCTGGGGCTGGGGCGGGCCCCTAATTTGCAAGGCTCATGAATAGCTGAGTACGGGGCCGCGCCTATTTGCATAGAGTGGGACGGACTCTACACTGGCTTCCTGGTCCCCGTTTCCCCGACTCATGAATATTCATGAAGCAGCCTGGGGGCGTGGGCTTGGGCGGAGCTAGGGGCGGGGCCCTGCCGGGGTTTGCATT